ATGTTCAGATGTTAAAATGCCCTTTAAAAAATTAATCATTTATCAGAGAGACTCTCACAAGATCCAGTGTTTTCTTGGAGTGGTTTTTTTGGGGGGGTTGGTTTTTTATTTTTTTGAATTCTACCAATAGGGCTGCCAAGTATGAAATACAATACTGTCCTTGGGAATGGAGTGTGTGATGGGAGGGAAAGAAAGAAAAGTCAGTCTATGTTCTGCTTTAGCTATTAGCCATTTACTGTTTGGTGGGGAAAAAAACATAACACTTTGAGTTGGCATAGGACTGAGAGAAATCTGGAGCAAGAGATAATCAATAAGCAATCATTAAGCATTTGCTGTGTGCCAGGCACTGTTTTAATTATTGGGGATATAAAGACCAAAACAACAACAACAACAACAACAACAGCAACTCAGTAGTAACCCTCAAGGAGTTTATATTTTATATGAGAAAACAACAAATTTTATACGCATAATATATATCTATAGATACATCTATACATATAGTGTATGTGTTTATATATACATATATGTAAATACAGAACACATATGATAAAAATTTGAGGAAATTTATGGAAAGTAGCACATGCTGAGGAGTTCAAGAAAGGCCTCATACAGTAGTTAGTGCTTGACCTAACTTTGGAGGAAGCTAAGGATTAAGATGCTGAAGTGAGGAAGGAGTGCACTGCAGGCATGCGCAATAGCCTACGAAAGAGCAAAGGGATGAGATGGCATGTCATGAAGGAGGAGCAGCAGGTAAACTTCTTTGGTGAATATGTAAAGGGGTGTAATGTGTATTAAGTCTGGAAAGAAAAACTAGAGCCAAATGGCTTTAAATAGCTAACAGAGGAGCTAGATGCTTTTTTCCCCTCAAGTATTAAAGCCTCTAATATAAAGAAAAATTATTCTTACAGAATGATTTTCCATTTTGGCTTTCCCGGTTTCCTTTCCCAACTAAAATCCCATCTCTTTTTTTTCAGCCAAAAACAAAGTTTATTGAAGATTCACCATGTTAGCCAGACTCTTAAGGAATCTGAGCATCTGTGGGCTATTGGCTAGATTGTGAAAATCTGAGCCTAAAATCTCATCTTTTACAGGAAGGCTTTCCCAACTTCTTTCTATTAATTACTTCCTATTCATCCTGAATAGTGTGCCATGTGGTTTTCTCCATTAGATTGTGAGCTCCTTGAGGGCAGGGATTGTCTTTTGTCTCTTTTTGTATCTCCAGAGCTTAGCACAGTGCCTGGAGCATAGAAGGTGCTTAATAATAGGTAGGTATGAAAATCTTTAGGTCATTTTCTTTTTTTATACACACGTTTGGGACATGGGAAGAAGGGGGGATGAGGAAATTAGGCTTACTTATGTTGGCAGCATGGCATTGTTCAGGGGTTCTTAACTTCTCCTCTCTCTTGTCATGGAACCCTTTGGGCACCTAGGTTGTTGACTGGAGAGAGTGTTGAGCCAGAGTCAGGAAGATCTCAGTTCAAGTGCAGCTTCAGACCCTTTATAGTTGTATGACCCCCAGCAAGTCACTTAATCTCTGTTTGCCTCAGTCCCTTCAACTGTAAAATGGGAATAATAATAGCACCTAGTGTTGTTCTGAGGCTCAGTGCCCCTGGCACTTGTTGCACTATGGAATTGTGGCCAAGTCATTTAGTGGCCGAGCCTCCAATTCCTCTTTTTGAAAATGGAGATAGTAATATCTGTAATACCTACCTCACAGGGTTTCTGTGAGGACCCAAATGACATACTGTATGTTATTGTCACTTTGATAACCTTAAAGTAGAATACAAATGATGATTACCATTATTATAAAATACTTCAGGATAGAAGATATGACATTAGGTTTCAAGTCTACTCAAACCTGATTTATTTTTAAATAAAATTCAATTTACTTTAGGACAAAAATGGAACTTTATCTTGTATTAACCCTTTTTAAAAAAATGTAATTTAGTGTGATTTTTAAAAAATTAGGTGCATCTAACTGAATTAGACCATTCACTTGGCTTCTCTGATCCTGTTTCCTCATCATCTCCTGCAACTAAAAAGTGTTTTCCCTCCTCTTCAAATTTTCCTAGCACATAGTAGACACTTCATAAATATTTGTTGAGTAAGTTAATTATTTTAGTTAATTCATAATATTAAGAGATTATAAAATCCCAAGATTCTAGATGTGTTTTTCCTGTGTGTGAATTAGAATTTTTTAGGCTGATACTATCTTAAATCAGTTGTCCCCTTGAGTAAATGACATGTGAAGTACACAAATACACATATATACTTTTTTAAATAAAAAAGGTACACATTGGGGAAACAGATAAAAAAGAATCTAGAATAATTACAGATTAGATAGCAGCTTTACATGAGAGAATAAATGGCATTATAAGCATTAAATGAAAGTTTCTCAAAATTAGTAAAGAAACATAGAATACTACACTATGGTTTCAATATTTATCATATTATTTTCTAAAGACAGTAACCAAATTTATTAAGATTCCTTGGGATTTGCCTATTTTATAGTTAAAACGCAAAATTATTCTGGCATTTTCTATTTGGGAATGGTACTTTGTATCATAGGCATGTAATATAGGCATGAAAATCCAACTTTAAATCACCATGGATTTTAGGATTAACTAAACAAAACTTCTCTCAAAGAAATGAAAGGTAATAGTTTAAGATAAATACCTTGATCCTCAACCAATTATTTTATATACTTAAAGCCTCCTATAGTATTAGAACTGATAATTTATAGCAAAAACAAAATCACAACAGAACAATCATAGATCAAGAAACCAAAAAAAGGACTTTGGGATTATGCCTTAAAAATCAGTAGTTTTGAATATATGGTTGCACCCCTGATGTATACCAGTTTCTTACCAGAAGACATATATAGGCATTTTCCTTAAAACTCTAATTTTAGAAGAAATTTCTGTAGATTGATTTTTTTAAAAAAGTATTTTTATGAAAGCATATTAATATCAACTATTTTGACTTGGGCAATTAGTATTAGCAAAGTGGTAAAAAATTTTAAATAAAATATTTTAATACACAGTAAAATATTTGAGCTATCTTCTCACATACCATTTATGTAGGACTGAATTATCAATTCCTGCTTAAAGTGGTGGTATGTTAGTTAACTATGAAATTATGGCCACATAAAACTTTGACATTCTACTTTGTTTCATCTGAATTCTAGTGGTAACCCAATATTGGCTAGGAAATAGAAGAAATTTTCAATCTTAAATTGATATGATATTCAGGATCATGCTCTTCTTATTCACAGAGGAAGTTATATTCATGAATGATGAAGATTAATTCATGTTAGGTTTCTTACTTGTATACAAAGCAACTGTGTCCTACCTTTCACATAGACCCTCAAAAAAGCTACCTCAAATTTGAGACACTTTACTGGTCAACACCCATTCAAACCTATAGCTAACAAGCCCCTACTAGTTTATTTACTTTTTTAAACAGCTAGAAAACACAGTAGTTTAAGACAAAAGACTAATCAAACAGTATGATGAATTAGGTGTCAAGAAATATCCCCTCATGGATACTTGGGGTACATTCTCCCATAAGTTCCCACTTGACCCATTTAATAAGGTATACAAACAGAAAGGACACATAAATAAGAAACATGCATAGAGGGAACTTGTGGTCAAGGAACATGTCTGAAACGGCACACACCAAGAACCTCAGTGACCAAGGCATGACTCATACCTTCAGAGCTTCTGATATTATCTGGTAATGAAGCAGTATTCTCTGAAGAAATCTTCAAATTACGTAAAACACAACTTAAAAACAAGAAGCTGCTGACATCTATGAGTGGGACAGGAGGAACCCCATTACTGTGTCATAGCTCTGATTTTTGTAGAATGCTTTCTGCTGGGCATCTTTGGTGATATTATGATCACTGAGACGCCTTCTATTTGGCTTTAGTTCTGTAGGGCTGTCTGCTGCTTTCTGTTTACCTCTCTTAAGAGCTGTAACTAGAAAGCCTCTCCCTGACCAGGACAGGCTAAAGCTCTTTGTGTACTAGGAGCTATCTTGTCCATTTTGAATGCCTGATTGAGGGCTGATTGGAAATACTTGGAACCAAAATTAATTATTTGACTTGGAATTACAAAAAATGACTTTTAAACTTCATTATATCCTCAAATGAACCTAAGGCTCTCAGACACACTGTGGAAACTCTACTTTCCTCCCCTCACACTCCCTGCCCCCCAACTCACAAAGAGCTGTGTGAGACTCTGGAATTACAGGTTCAACTCTTCACTTTAAGAACCTCCTCATTTGGCATGTAGATAATGTTAGGGGTGAGAACAAAGGCTAGGTGAAGCCAGCAGGATTTACATTCCAACCTTTATTATGTACATCTATTAGCAACAAAATCACTAATTTTGTATGTCTCTGTGTGTGTGTGTGTATGTGCATGTGTGCTGTATTCTTGCTGCTATACCATTTCTGGTCTCCATACACATAGGATAACAAAGTAAACAGCATAATTTTCAGTACATCAGATTAACTGTTTTGCTAAAGTTAGAATAACAAAGAACAAAGAAAGAGTGCAACATATTTATAAAAAAGGTTAATTGCAACTTTTGGAGATAGTTAAATTCAGATCTGCTATTCCTTTAAAAGGAAGAAAAGAAATGTCACCGTCTTCAGTTTCTGACTAAATGTAACAGACAAGTAATTTCTGTGAAATTAAGTAAATCCTGTGAAAGTATAATTTTGAAAACTACTACAAAATGCAGGAGATTGTTGCAAACCACCATTGCCTTTAAACTTACTGATAATACTAAAAAAAAGCACCTGTCAGTTTCAATAGTTTGGTGGACAGAGTATCCTGAGCCAAGTTGACAAAATATGTAACTTAGGAAGGTTTAGACTGAATTATTCACCCACCCTCCCCCCTTTTACTTTCTGTGCTGCAAAGCAGATAAATACTTTGTTACTATAAAAGTGGCACAGACTGATAAGAGGAAATATTCAGCGCAAGTGTTTGTGTTGCAGCTAATTAGAAGAAAATGACCTTAGTCAATGTAGAAATGTTCCAAATGATGGAAAAACATACCAAAGCTATGGTGTTACATAGAATAGCAAATAATGTTGTTAATATCCAAAGGATTTTGGTATGTAACATTGTAAAGTGACTTACAGCTATTTTGGTTCTTAGAATAATGGAACACATGTGAATATTGTTGTTCAGTCATGTCCAACTCTTCTTGATCCCACTTGAGGTTTTCTTGGCAAAGATACTAGAGTAGTTTGCCATTTCCTTCTTTAGCTCATTTTACAGATGAGGAAACTGAGGTAAACAAGTGACTTTGCTTAGGGTCTCATGGCTACTATGTGTCTGTGGCTGGATTTGAACTCAAGTCTTCCTGACTCCAGGCCCAGCCTCCAACCACTGCACCAGCTAGTTGCCCCAACACAGGTGAGTACTGTTATACATTTCATTATTATATGTGAAGGAACCAGTTATGTCAATTGGTAAAGGTACATTTTAATGTCTAGAAGGCTGAATATGGAGCTTGTAGTAAGGTTTTTTTTTTTTATCTTACCTGAATTAAATCAGATCTCAGATACTTTTAGACTTACTGCTTGTTGTCTGACTTTGTGTGACCCCATTTTGGAGTTTTCCTGGGAAAGATACTAGAGTAGTTTGCCATTTCCTTCTCCAGTTGATTTTACAGATGAGGAACTGAGGCAAACAGGGTTAAGTGACTTGGCTAGGGTCGCATGGCTAGTAAGTTTCTGAGGTTGAATTTGAGCTTAGGTCTTACTGACTCCAGGCCCAGCCCTCTATTCATTGGGCTACCTCACTGCCCTTTGGATTTACTACTTCTTTGCAAAATTCCCCCACCATCCTCCCATTCCCACACTTGATAGAGGGAATTTAGAATCTCCTCTACATTATGACCTTTATGCCCAGTGCCTCCTTCCCAATGGTGGTGGGCCAATCCTGTGAAGTAAAAACCCCAGTGCATCCTAAGGAATCCGGGACCTTGCAATTTGATTCATAGCTACACCCTTAGGACCTCAGAGCTCTCCCATCCTCCCTGAATATGAATATTTTCCCTAGTTAGAAAAGAAAAAGAGGACAGGGATTAGGTTGTTTTTCTATTTGTAACCCCAGTGCTTAGCACAATGCTTGGCATAGAGTATGTACTTAAATGAATGCCTTTTATTCACCTAGGATATTAGTAGATTCAAGAAAGTCAAGAAGAAAATCCACCTCTATGTTTGGGATTTGTTTGTTTCCTTGTTTTCAACCATTAAGGACTACGGGAATGAAACTTGTGTAAAGGAAAAAGTAAAAAATAAAATAAAAAATAAAAAGCATTTATAATATAAATACCTAAGTTTATGTTTGTGGCAAATGTGACTAGTTTAAATCTCACTTTTATAAAACAATATTCCTTCCCCCATCCATTCTCTCTCTAAACAGAAAGGTGCATTGAAAAGGAAAGGAGGTATTTTACTCATGACATTTCTTAGATTTTGTATGAGACAGAAGACCTAGGAAGCTTATAGCTTTCCCTTCCCCAGCTTCAGTCCTGCTACTTATGGGCCTAATGCCTTTCACCTATATTTCAGGCATATGTGCAGCTCTGTTTTTCTATTCATGATACAGTCGCTAATCATCATATGGTCTGGCTAAAGAGAAGGGGCACCCCAGCCATTGCCCTTCATGTCTAGTCTGTCACATAATGGAGCTGTCAGTCATGCCAGTGATGGAACATCTGTTCAGAATCACAACTTCCCTTTTCTCCTTACTTGAAGCCCTCTTCCTTCTCCTTTTCTTCACTAACTTATCCTGTGGGAAATATTTGGGATCTGTGGCTAATTTCTAAATCAATGGAAATTGGAATTACAATAGTAAAGTACAGTGGAAAGAGCATGGGATTTGTAGTGAGAAGATTTGGACTCCAATCCTGGCAAGTCACTTCTCACAGAACTTTTATTGCTTTATTTATAAAATGAGTGGAAATGAATTAGATGATTTTTATAGGTCTCTTCCAACCTTAAATCTTTGGTCCTATTATCCTTATAATAATGACTCTATTCTATCTAACATTTTAGGCTTTGCAGAATGCCTTATTCAGAACAACCTAGTACAGGTAGGTATTGTAAGCATTATTATTCCTTCTTTTCTTGGTTTTATTAATAAGCTTATATTTGAACCAATCAATCAATTCAAACAGGATAAAAAATGACTAGAAGCACATAAGTAGATATTGACATATTTTCACTAAAGCTGAAAGTACACATTTTCCTAAAGAGTATGTGATATATTCAAATATTGATGAGCTTTTCAGTTTAAATTATTTCTTTTTTTTTCCTTTTCCCTGTTTTACAGAGAATCACACATCCAAGTTCAGTTCACACTAAGTTTAAGATTTCAAAGTTCAGCTTCTTTTTCAGATCATTGCAAGGATGTGAGAAACAAAGAGCTTGGCTTGAGGGCTACCTCCAACTGAAAGCCTATTTTGACATCCCTCTCCCCCTCCCATTATGAGTATCCTTTGCCTGGAAATTACTTTGCATATATTGCTTATTTTGTATGGTGTGTGTGTGTGTTTGTGTGTGTGTACATTTTACCACTTCTTCCCCAAAAGAGTGTAAGCTCCTTGATGGCAAAATGTTTCATTTTTGCCTTTGTGCCTAATACAATGCCTGACACCTAGCAGCTGGTTAATACATTCTTGTTGAATGAATAAATGAAATCAAAAGGACTGGCACTTTTTAGAATTAAAAAAAACCTCCCTTCCCCCGCCCAATATTTTATCACTCAAAAGCAGTAAGAGGAATGCTAATAATAATTTACCACACATACACAAATAAATTTTGGACTAATTCCAATAAAGCAGGTTCCAACCCTAAAGGATAAAAATTCCCAGAAAGTTTGAAAGCCTCAAAAAGAGTGTTTACATGAGGGCTTGTTCCACATCCTTGAAGATCAGCTCTGTGATTGCTATCTTGTCAGTGCTGTACCACCTTTGGATCTTGCCCAATGTCACACAAATAATAAAAGTAAAAGCTGGGATCTGAATCCTGGCCCTTTGACTCAAAAGCCTGTATGTTCTTTTTCTACTTTATCATGCCATTCTTCAACTCCTAGGTGAGACTGGTACCCAGTTCTGTTCAGCTCTACCAGGGCTTTTATACATTTAGGTTCAATAATGTAGTAACTAGAATAAGGGATGAGAAGTTTCTTTATCGCTACCCTGACACCAACACAGCTAGGAAGTATCTGAGGCTGGATTTGAACACATCACTTCTTAGCTACAGACCCAGAGCTCTCTCCATCGGTCCACTTAGTTACCTCTGGATATTGGAGCAGGTAAGGCAGAAGGGACAGTCAATGAAGGGGAGGTTGAAGATGAAAAGGGGAATGATCAATGGAGTGAGGTTCCTTCCTGGAAATGAAAGCAAATGAGAGTGGAGTGGAATACAAGGCTCAGTGGATAAAGTGCTGGGCCTGAAGTCAGGAAGACTCCTCTTCCTGAGTTCAAATCTGACTTCTGAAGCTTACCAGCTGTATGACCCTGGGCAAGTCACTTAACCCTGTTTGCCTCAGTTCCTCATCTGTAAAATGGGTTGGAAGTGGCAAACCACTCTAGTACCTTTGCCAAGAGAACCTTCAAAGGGGTCATGAAGAGTTGGACCCAACTGAATAACCAACAAAGATTGTGGCCCAGAGCTCAGGTTTTAGGAGAGAAGATTTGGTTATTAGATTAGGCAGTTACAAGGTTAGTTGACCTTTGAGAGAGCAGTTTCAGTAGTATGGTGGGACAGAAATCAGCTTATGGAATGTGAGGAATGAAAGGAATGACTATTTCTCAGCATCCTAGAGTTCCAAAGTCCAGGTTTTATGACCGCTATAACATTGACACCCTGAGGATAAAGAAGTGACCATTGGGAGTAATCTTCAGGATTGTAGGCCAATGGTAGCTTAGATGCAGGCTTAGCTGGAAATCATACTTCATCTGAACATGAACTGGGTGGGACCAATACTATGTAAGAAATGAGCTAAGGTTTGTGCCAACTCTTACAGGGACCAAGGTGGGGTAGCAGAGGGTGTGCCTGTGAGGCACAGGAGAGGGAAATGTTTGTATGTTTTGTTTCTGTCTTTGAAGTAAATATCCTATTATAAAAGCTAATTGATGTTAAGAGGTAAAATGGAGCTGGGATGCTAGTCACTGGCCCCTAACACAGCCAGTAAGGACTTGAGCCAGTGGCAGTAAATAAATAACACCCAAGCCTCTCAGGATCCTCTGGAACCCTAAGGAGAAATGCAGTCCACCTGAGCTTTGAGAGCGTGAGCCACAGCATGCATGCTGCACCTGGCCTCAGGGCAAGACAGATCCCAAGTCCCCTTCTCCTCCAGCCCCAGTAGCTCATCTTATTTGCTCAAACTCCAGCCAGGCAGAAAAGAGAACTTTTTGGCTGGATAGCGTATTCCCAGTTCTGGGTCAGCTGACAAGCAAAAGGCCTTTTTTTTTGCCTGATAATCAGACTGGAAACTCTGCTTGCACATGCCCATGTTCCTGCTGGAATCACCTCATGCTGAACATGCGTGGGTTCTCATTGGACAATCACTGTTCCATCTAGAACAGTGTCTTGCACATAGTCATTGAATGTTAGTCATTGCTCCAAATATAAGAAAGAGACCATCAAGAAGTTTGCATTTTAAAATGGAAAAGAAACATTTTGAAGACATAAAGGACTACAATTCAAGTGGACTTAACAAATTAATTGATTTAAAATCATAACCAGATGCATAGGTTTAACCTTATTTTTTTTTTATCACTAATTGTGCATTCTTCGGCTTGAGTTGTTTATGGGGTGCTCTCTGTACCAATGGTTGAGGAAGGCATCTGAACAATCTTACTTTAGTAGTTGCATCACACCAAACACAACAAAAGCAGTCCTGAAGTTAAAGAGTACAGCTCTTTCAAATGGGGCTCATCTTGCATATTCAGGAGGTCGGAGGTCTAAATTCCACTGATGTCTTACATTCTAGGCTGGTTGCAGAGGATGGGAAAGTGTGAATGAAAATTGAGTGTTAGGTTGGAGCCTTGTATTACTATTTAATGAATTGCCTGGACAGTCACTGTTTCAGATTTGGATCTGGGCTCAAAAACCAGTTCAGAAACTTTAAACTACGGAAATCATCTCCCCCCCACCCCATCCCAAGTACTCTCTAGATTTAAAAATTCTGGATTGTTGTAATCTGCTCTTTAGTTCTGTTACTTAACTCATTCAAAACCTACATCCCTTGATGTGCAATGTGAAGTATAAAATTCATGTATTCCTTTTTTACAACCTTATGAATTCTACCTTATGAAAGTTAAATTAAGGAAAAGCTGAATGGAACTGAATTGTCTGTGATTACTCTCAGGAATGAAACTATCTGAAGGGGTTCTATTGGGAAATATGATACACATGCCGGAAAATTAGCCATTCTGTTTCAAAGCACAGGATAAAGAATTAAGAACTGCAAGAAAATCAGAGATCATTTAATTCAATACTTTCATCTTACAGATGAGGAAACTGAGGCCCGTAGAGGTGAAGCGATGATTTGAACCATGTCACAAAGGGCACACCTGAATTTAATTTTTCTGACTCCAGATCCAAGGATAATTGAAATCTGATGATCCTAGAAGGAGAACTAGCTGGAAGGGACCTCAGAGGACCTCTAGGCCCAGCCCTTGTTTTTATAGCTAGGGATGAACAAGTCATTACCACTTTCCAAGAAAAGACTATAGGCTCTCCTTGACTCCTACTCCCTTTATATAGAGAGTGTGTGAAGATTCATAATGGAGCTCTAAAAGGCCCTAGCTCCAATCTCCCCCTATGGCTCTGAATCACATTTCTGAAGCTGACGGATACTTTTGGAAAGAGTGTTTAGCCTTTTTCCAATTCTAAGCCCGGCTAGTGGGATTTTTCAGTCTTGACTGAGACTGGCTTCTTAATTTTTTCCATCAGCTTCCTATCAGGTATGCATCCTGTCAATGACTGAGATGAAATTTGATATGTTTTATTATTTCTCTAAATTTAAAAGAGATTTTAATGCGTACATGTAGATATGTGTATAAATGCATATATATGTACACTTATAGGTATAGGCACACACAGGTGTATGTGTACATACATGATATGTGCATGTGCACATACATATATATGTACATACGTACATATATACATATGTGTACGTATGTACACATATGCACACACATACCCAGGGTCATACACCTGGAAGGACTAATGCCACATCTTCCAAATTCTTAAGGTAGCTTTCCTCGGTAGGCTATAGATCTTTCAAGGGGACGTAAATTCAGCTGTGGGAGATTATTGCAGATAACAATTTTGGGCCTCTCCCACCCTTTTTAGAACACCTTTATGACACACTATGCCATACAACAATGTAAAAAACTTTTAAAAGAAATAAGAGCTCATTATTTTGTATAGTGTTCTTTATATATGGGGCCTGAGTTTTTTAAACCTTATTTTTTGCATCAGTTCTATGAGGTAAACCATTGAAGAAACTACTGTAGAAAGAAGCAGCTTAGATAATTTGCCCTAAGAACAAGCTAGAAGGAGGTTATCTCAATGAGTGCTGTTGAGTGTGTCATTTGAATAAAAATATGTATTTTAAAAGTCTTGCTTAATTTGTCATTTCTTCTCTTGAAAAAACAGCCTCTAATATCTCTGCCTCTGTCTCTCTGTCTCTTTCTCTCTCTCTGTTGGTCTCTCCTCTTTCCCCTTTCCTCCCCTCATATTGTTGAAAATGAAACCAGGCTATTGCCAATAGTAGTAGTAATATTTTATATAAAATGCCTTTCATCTCAGGCTCAAACCGTGAACAATATCATCAGTGTAGAGAGAGGAAAGTCCCAATACAGAAAGGATGTGCTGATAAATGTTTTAACAACTGGCTTTCTGGGAGAAAAAAAAAGTATACAAGACACACTTTTAGATCTAATCTCCATAATTAGCCTTTTTCCTTCCTCACTTTCTTAAGTCTAGCCAATCAACAAAACAATAAATGAAGCCTTTGTTTGTAGCATTTCCTGATTTCTGAGGTGTAAATGCTCACACTGAAAATTTAACGAACTGACTTCAACACATCCCCGATGCAAGTACATTTATAATTTTCTTGCAGTCTGGAGACTGTTGAAAGCTGCTCTGAATACCAAGCAATAACATGAGGTGACTTGTCTGGGGTAATACAGCTACTATGGGACAGATGAGACTTAAATGCAGGTTTTTATGGCTGTGAGGCCATCTCCCTACACCAAACTGCCTCAAAGGAAAAGCAAGGCAGAGGAAATCCCTACAAGGGCTGGGGAGCCTGCATCCTTGAGGCTACGTGTGGCCTTCTAGGTCCTTGGGTCCAAGTTTTACAGAACAAATCCTTTTATTAAGGGGATTTGTTCTGTGAAGTTTGGATTCAGTCGAAGGGCCACACTTGAGGACCTACAGGGCCACATTGTTGGCCTAACCTAACCAAATTTACATAGTAATTCAAGAGTGCCTCTTATAGAACAGGTGTAAATCAAATGCTAT